GTATAACATGAACAGGGCTGTCAGAAAGGGGCCTCTTCTGGGGCTGCCCATGACACATGCACGGCTAGTTTGGATGAGGCTGCAGCGGGGCTCAGCAATGAGTTTGGGCCGGAAGCTGGGGGAGTCGCTCTCAAGAAGCAGCGCTGGGACGTTCTGGGCCGGTGGAGCAGGCAAGGCCTGCCCTGCCTGAGGGGACTTTGCTTAGGAGAGAGACTGCTGAAGGAGCCAGAGCAGGAGTGGCAAGCTCTCAGAATAAGTGTCATGGGAGCAGACATTCTGTCTCCCTCACAGACTGTGAAGATGACGCTTGAAGCAGAGGTTCAACTTCATAGAAAGTACTGGTAGGAAAGAAAAACTTCCCTCACCACCACCCTCAGGCCACGTCACACTTGGAGGGAGCCAAGGGGCAGAGAACAGCTGCCGAAGGGACCCTGTGACTCCCTCAGGGCCTCAAGCTCATGAGTGTCGGAGCAAGGACTGTCACGAGCCCGGCACTTTGGTCTCCCTGCCATACCCCTTTCACCCAGGTCATTTAGACAAAGAGACATGTATGGTGTCCTCCACAGGAAGCAGGGCCACCTGGGGTCAAGTTCAGCCACTAAGGCTTGAAAAGTAACTGTCAGAGTTCCCAGTTCTTTCAGCTGGGGCCCACAGTGCACCCAGGCAGGTCTCTGGGCATGTCCCCCAGGGCACTGTCTTCAGTGCAGGCCCCTCATCCTGCCACTGATACGTGCAGTTTTCAATCACATTCTCTTTAATACAGCTCAGTTAAAAGCTGGAAGCAGTGTTAATAAATTTAATAAATGGTTGTGGAAACTCTCCGTCTTGGTCTGTGCAGTTCAGTAAATACGGCAGCCATGAATCTCAATCACAGACCACGGGGCACAGGGTGGGCCTCTCTGCAGAGCACGGCCCAGGGGCCTCCCCGCAGACCTCCCCTGTCTACGTGGGAGGCTGGGCTTTCCAGAGCTACTCACGATCCTCCAGCCCCCGACCCTGTCCCAGGCTTGGATCCCCACCCCTGGGCCCCACTCACCTTACTAAGGAACAGACTCTCCAGTTCCTGTTGTAGCTGAGTAAGGTGCTCACATCCAAGCTGCTCAGGTCAAAGTCAAAGACCTAAGCAGAGAAAGAAACCAACTGAGTGTCACAAAGAACACTAAGCAGCCTCCCACTGAAACACGGGACCATGAGAGGCTGCCCATCACCGTGAGAGGGGGCAGGCAGGGGGTGCTGAGTGCAGAACAAGTGTGCTGTAGGAACAGTCACAGAGCATCTGTCTATGATGGGCCAGGTATTATGTGCATCAATGAAAACAGTCCTTCTCTTCCAGCACTTTCTACATTTCTTCCATTTCAAAACCACCACTGAGCATGTCTGTTTTGCCAGGCACCTGTGGGGAATCATGGCAGGCTAGATGGTGTCTGACGCACCTTACGACGAAGCAGAGGGAGGAGATATGCATGCCTACAGCTGTGACGCAACAGTAATGAACCGCACTACGTAGTAATGAACTACGGCAAAGACAACAACGAGGCACCGAGGGAGTCCAGAGGGAAGAGAAATTCATTCCAGTGAGGAGCAAGGAGACGGCGTCTGAGATGGGACTAAGGATCTAAGTAAGGCTCTGGACAGAGGGCAAGAAAGGGCACACAATATGAGAGGCCTGTTGGCGTGATGGCAGCAGACCACATGGGAAAAACGTGGCCACATGGAGCCAGTGGGCAATGTGGCCTCAGCAGCATGGGGAGATATAAGGGGACTAGCTGTCAGCCTCAGAGGGTCAGGGACCGTGCAGGAAATCAGCAACGGGCACTGTGATTACAACCATGTGTAAGTGGCAGAGGACACACTCACTAACCCACTGCTACGGAGTCATGGTGATACTCATTGGGTTTCCAAGGCTGTAAATCTGCACTGAAGCAGATTGCTTCATCTTCCTCCTATGGAGCAGCTGGTGGGTTTGAACCACTGACCTTTTGGTTAGCAGCCAAATGCCTTACCCACTAGGTCACCAGAGCTCCTTATAAAAGATACACAGTAGATACAAAATGAAGAGTTAGGCTAGGGCTATGATATCCATAACGTGGTACAGAGAGTTACTTGATGTGGCTCCTCTAGCCACAGTCTTTGTACCCTCATGTGACTGGGTGGAGCTATGTAAATGTGAGGTGTAGCCCACCACTTGGGGATCACAACTAAGTTCCTCTGTATGGGGAACCGGATCAGAACCTGTGAGCAGAGAGGCACGGAATGCTGTTGCACTCGCAGGCGCAGTCGCTGGGGTCCCACCCGCATGAGGACAGGGGCATGCAGGCCGGACTCGCTCACGGCCACTGGGCACTTGCATCAGCACCTTCCCCAGGGATGCTGCCCACGTGACACTGAGGACCCTGTACCTCCACGGGGGAGAAAGCACTTCACTTGAGCTGGCAGCAACACACTCGTGTTTAACTGAGACAAGATTTCACAGCAGCCTATGAAGGTAGGAGCAGTCTGTCCCCAGACCTGCCCCAAACAACTTGCTACTAATGTAAATAAGGTACATGGCACCCTTGTGGGGGTGGGACTATGCAAATAAAATATACGTAATCCTAACATGGAGACCGGTCAGTTCTGCCATCCTGCTAGGCTTAAAGTGAGACATCCCAGGGGTAGAAATGGGGCGCTCACTGCCATCAGGAAAGAAGAGCCAGAAATGCAGTGCATCCTCGGAGCTGAGATCCTGCACTGAAATGGCAGGGACAGAGGCAGCAGATCCAGCAGAAACAAGAGACCTACATGAGACAGAGCGGCGGGCTTCCTGGCCTACGGGATGAGAAAGCTGAGTGCCTTTGGGCAGAAGGCCCACTGATGCAACTGGGGTGCCTCTCTGGGCACCTACTGGCAAAGCTAAAAGAGCTCTGTAATACCGGCTGGTGCAGGACACAGGCCAAGGTCAGAGAGAAGGGTGCCTGTGGCATGGCTGAGAAGAAGCTGTCCTGAAGAACTGTATCCTGAGTCATTTCTGACCCTAAGTTGAAATCTGTTACTTCCCTAATAAAGTCCACCGTCGTGAGTACAGTCTGTGAGTTCTGTGTAGTCACTGCAACAAATTATCGAACGCAGCAGAGAGGCAGAAGGGCCACGGGAGGGACGGTGGGTGCAGGAATTGACGGGAAGGTTGGATGGTTGCCTCATAGGAACCAGCTTCAGGCTGTTGATGCTCATCTTGATTCTCTCCCCCTTGTGAAGTCAGAGGGAGTCAGACACTGCCTCCATGACCTTTCTGCAGTTAAGTTAAACGTTCTTTTTTCCCCCTAACACTTTAATGATGTATGAGACAAAGGCTCCAGATCTAGTTGGATGTACCCCACAATGAGCACTTTTTGACCACAGAGTGGTCCAGCAGTGATGCACCAGGTGTGGCCCAATGAGAAGCCACTGCCTGGGGCCCACAGTTTGCTCCTACAGCTTCCTGGTCAGCTCCCTGGCCGGGGAGAGGCGAGGGTGGTAAGAGGGCCCACTGAGGACATGTGGGTGGGAGGTGAGGCTCTGAGAAGATTGCCCTACCTGTCTCAGCCCACAGCGGAAAACCAGGGCCAACCAGCAGGCTCCTACCTGGAAGTTCTCAACGATGCGCTCGGGGGTCACCGACTTGGGGATCACAACTAAGTTCCTCTGTATGGGGAACCGGATCAGAACCTGTGAGCAGAGAGGCACGGAATGCTGTTGCACTTGCAGGCGCAGTCGCTGGGGTCCCACCCGCATGAGGACAGGGGCATGCAGGCCGGACTCGCTCACGGCCACTGGGCACTTGCATCAGCACCTTCCCCAGGGATGCTGCCCTCGTGACACTGAGGACCCTGTACCTCCACGGGGGAGAAAGCACTTCACTTGAGCTGGCAGCAACACACTCGTGTTTAACTGAGACAAGATTTCACAGCAGCCTATGAAGGTGGGAGCAGTCTGTCCCCAGACCCGCCCCCAGATCATGTGGTCTTCTGAATGCCCGGCCCCTGCTTGCTCCTTCTCTTCCCTACACACTCCCGGCCCTTACTCAGCACTTCCAGAGCGCAGAGCACAGGAGGCTCTGGGGACAGTCACATGTGCCTGGGCACAGGAATACCTGGGCTACGGTCTTATCATGCTTGGCTGCAATTGCTTTGATCCTGGGGTCCTCCAGCAGGGAGGGGTCCTCTGGCTTGGCCCTGGAGACAGAAAGGGGGTCCATGTGAACCTCTCCATTGCCACCACTCAGGTAGCCAGTGACTGGGCCAGCCCTCATACCGTCCTTGACAGCAGTCCACCGAGAGCTGCCTATGACATGCTGGTTCCCAACCCTCACCCTTGGGACAGAAGAACAGGCCTCCCAGAAAGCCGTAGAGGCCCTGGGCAGGCCCACGGCTCAGCCCCAACGACCTTCCCAGTGCTGGGCCATTTCTCATCTTCCCCACGAGCCCCTGGCAAGCTTACCAAGGCCGGTCAGGGGAGCCCAGGGGGCTGTAGGCGGTCACTACGATGCCCTTGGACTGGCAGTACTGGACTAGCTTCTCCTGGGTGAAGTATGGATGGCTCTCGATCTGCAAACACAGAGGAGGGGCTGGGCGTGTGGCATTGTGGATGGGGCACACGGGAAGTGCCAGTCTCTCCCTCCCCACTGACAACAATGACAAATCCGGGGTGACACACCTCTGCCATTTCCCAGCCAGTGTCAACACCAAGAACCACCACCTTGTGACTGAGGCTCTTTGGCCACAGGCCCTGAAGGCTGGTCCTGGTTTCAGCCATTTGTCAACTATCCCAGGTCTGAGGTCTCAAAGTCTGCACTGCTCACTGTGAGGCCCCGAGGCACGACATCAGGGCCTTTCTGTCCTGCAAGTCCTACTCCCAGAGGCGCCACTGTCACTCTGAATCATCATCCAGGCTCTGCAGAGGCTAGGAGCCTCCTGGCCACTCCCTGGGGCCGGACCATATCCCAGGAGACCAGCCTCTCGGGCCGATGTTTACCTGGTTAACAGCTGGCTTGTATTTTAAGCCAGGCTTGTTTAAGATCCTCTCGATTTGGAGGTGGTTGAAGTTGGAGACACCAATTGCCTTCACCAGCCCCTCGTCCACCAGCTTCTCCATGGCCTAAGGGGAAGAGAATACTGCTTGGTGCTGGCTGCTGGAACATGCCAGAAAAGACAAGGACCGGAAGCATCTTTTGCACCCACAGTTAACAGGTCCCACCCTCACAGTTCTGCACCAGCTAGTGAGACCTTTCAGAAGCCACAAGGTGGAAGACAAGAGCCAGGCTGGCTTTAAGGAGACAAGAAGAACAGACAAAGTGACCGAATAACACAATACAGTGAGGGGAATGCCAGAGCAGGCTCCTGCCCAAGTTCACCAAGTTCACTCACAGGGGAAACATGGCACCAGCAGTGAAGCAAAAAGTGAAGCCAAGGATTGCCTTACCGTCCACGTGTCCAAAAAATCGGTGTCACTGGGAATCACGTTGCCTGTCTCATCCAGCGGGAAGAAGTCCTTCCCCGCCTGCCGTTACAACCGAAACCAGAAACAATCAAGAGCAGCCCTTCACAGACCTGCACAGGTCAGCGGGGAGGGGCTGCTGCTTTGAAAACAAAGCTGGGGTTCTCCATCGGGCAGTGTGACCAGGAGATGTGAGCACGACCCCGGGCCCCAGCACTTTCCCCTCAGTGAGCTGGAGCTGAGAAATCACCATCTTCACATATCTAAGCCTGTTGTGTGGTGGTGATGAACTTGGTTAGGGGCTGGTCTGGCACAGACTAGGGGGTGTGTGTGTGTGTGTGTGTGTGTGCGTGCACATCCAAAGTGGCATCCCTGGTTCCCAGTCCCGGCTGGGCACTGGCCTCTGGAACTGCCAGAGATGGAACTCACCGAGGGTGGAATCCCATAGAAACAGGGACCAAAGTCAAGTCCCTTTGGGCTCTAATCTGCCACCAAGAAATCCAATGGAGCTATAGCGTAAACTCTAATTTTACTGCCGACAATGCCCACACCAAGCGGGGCTGAGAGAAGGCCGAGTGCGCTGACCCCCTCACGTTCTTTCTGTGCAGAGCCAGGCTGCCTGCCCCACAGGCCTAGGGGTGGGAATGCATGCACACACATGAGCAGTGTGTAGTGTACGTGTGCTCATGCGTGCACATGCTGGGGTGACAGCAATAGTTCCCCATGCCCTGTGTGCCATAAGGACAGCGATGTTTCCTGTCCCAAAGGTTTAAATGACATCACCACTGAGGAGCCAGCACCCCTCACACCCCACAGAGCACCTAGGAGGCACCCCTGGTTCCTGTTAGAACACAGGCGTGAATGCAGAGGCCTGGGAGTGGATGAGACGAGAACTGCTGATCAGCCCCGGGGGACACCGTCGCTGCAGGTCTGGGGCTCCACAGGGCACAGCTAGCATCCTGAGAGGACACCAAGAATCTCCCCAGCACAGCCCCCAGGGTGCACGCGGCCACAGGCCCATACCTTAAAGCCGGTCGGCCAGTGGATCAGGTAGAGGTCCAGATAGTCCAGCTTCAGGTCACTGAGAGTCTTCTTACAGGCGTCCCTCACCATGCTCTTGTCGTGGTAGGTGCACCAGAGCTGAGGGAGTGAGAACACACTTTGTCCTGCTGCGCCAATGACAGACACCACCCTGTCCCCCACGAACGGTCCCTGCCATCATGTGATGGCTGAGTCACTTCAGCCATCAAACAGTTGGGGGGGTCCAGTGCACATTGTGGACTCCACTGCCACAAGAAGGCACGATAACCAGGTCCTGGAAACCTCTCAAGAGGCATAAAATGGGAGGCAGGCCAGGCCCAGCCTCCACCGAGCAAGGGGGGCTGGCTTCCTCTTGGCCAGTCTTTGTGGGCCAGCTCCGCCCCAACCCAGTGTCCCACTGTGGGCAGTGGTGGGGAGCCAGTCTGCAGATGGGAGCAAAGTCCTTTCTGCACAGGGGGCTCCTGGGAAAGGGAGAGCTGACCCTAGCCTGGCCCAGCAGCTTGGGTCCTAACCAGAGGGTCTGAAGGCTTAACTGCCCAATGCCAGCTGGTGTGCATGGGCCTTGAGCCCTCTGTTGCCTCAGCTGCCATGCCTCCCATTGCCCACCGTGCCCACACCCAGAGCACTGGGGTAGCTGCTCCACCGGGCCCGCCCCCGCCCCCGCCCCACCTGAGGCATCACCTTGCTGACGATGAAGAGGTCCTCCCGCTTCACCACCTCCGCCTTGAGCTTCTCCTGGAGGGCTTCTCCCACCTCACTCTCGTTCTGGTACACGTGGGCGCAGTCGATATGCCGGTACCCAGTGTCAATGGCCACCTTCACAGCCTCTGCCACCTTGCCTGGCGGGGACTGAGGGAAGAGACAGACAGGGCCCAGGGTTAACAACAAAGCCAACACAGTCTGCACACAGCCTTGGCACAGGGTGACAGCAATGGGTTGAGCCTGACAGAAAGGTCTCTCCTCTGAGCCCAGCTGGGGAGGCGGCATCTCCGAGGCGGGGCTATGAGGACAGGCGCTGGGACTTCCTGTCCGGAACTCCCGACGTGGGTCCCGCACAGACACACCACCGAAAGACATGCTGCTGCCTCACTTCTTCCCGTCATGATTCACAACCCACCGCAGGAAAACCCTCACTCTCTCAAGCCTTCAGGGCCCATGACAGAGAGGCACCACTGCCCCAAGCAGCTCTAAGTATTTCAAAAACCAAAACCATAAAAGCAAACGCACTGCCATCGAGTCCATTCCAACTCACGGCGACCCTACACAGCTTCCCTACACAGCTTTCCGTATTTAAATACTTCCTTGTGGGCTCCGGGTCAGTCAGCAAGAGCTGGGGTGTAGTGGGGGCTCCTGCACTGTCCTGCCTCATTCTGAGCCACCCCTCACTGGCTGTAAGCAGTTCAGGGGGGCTTTCATGAGGCCGAGTGTGTGACTGATGACAACTCGGATCTCCTCGGGCCTCACCGCCAATGGCTTTGGGAGGTGGCCCTCAGACGTTTCTGTAGACAGAAATGATTAAAAGGTGAGGGAGAATGGGGATTAGGCAAGATGGCTCTATGGATTGTAGTCAGCAATAAAGAGACTGAACAGTGTCCTGGCCCGGGCCAGGTGGCATCTGACGACAGGATGGGACAGGGGTGGAGAGCATGCTGCTGATGGAGAGGGGGTGCTCGGGCAGCCCCTGCAGTTCCCCAGCCCCTCCCACAAGCTCAGGATGAACAACAGGCATCATGTGACACACTGCTGAGAGGGCCAGGGCCAGAAGGACAGGAGGGGAAAGTGCCTTAGGGCCACCAGCAGCTGCAGAGGCCTGCTGTGGTGAACAGGCCGGGAGCCCCACGCACCACCTGGCCTGCTGGTCCCCCTGAGAGTGGGAGGCGGTACACCAGCCCTCAGGTGTTCCCCAAGAGCCCACCTCAGACTGTCGGGGCCTCCTTGGCTCACTGGAGGAGCCAGGAAGGCCACACACCCTTATGCTGAAGAAGCAAGGGAGGAAACTACAGTGTCCAGAGAGAACCCCCCATGGCTCTCTCCCAGTCGCCATCACGAGCAGTGTTAGCACAGCCCACCCTTATCCGCGTGAGAACTGTGGGAAGTGTCCACCCAGCACGTTCAGAAGTTTCTCCAGGCTTAATGACCTTCAACTGACTGTTCTCTGAGGAGATGCTGCACTGCCTCCATCCTGTGCTCACACCCATCAAGCCCGGACATGGGAGGAGGGGCAACCCCCAGGTCCAGCCACAGAGAGCACCCCAGGCTGAGCAACAGGGGTACACTCCCAGGCCCAGCCACAAGGGGCACCCCTGTAGACCCAACCACAAGGGGCACCTCCAGACCTGGCCACACACGTTCAGTCACAGCGACTAGGGCAGGGGCAGGAAAGAGACTCGAGCCAGGGCAGTGGAACTGCTAAGAGAAGCTCTCATTCTATGGCGGCCACTGTCCTGTGGCGGGGGTGGGGGGAGCCTGAGCTGCCAGGGGAAAGTGGAATGGACAGACATGAGGGCTTGAGAGACCAGCCCAGTGAGAAGCCCTGGTGACGTCACTTACATCCTTGAACCAGACTGACAGCCAGTAACTGTCAGCTCTGCAGGCCAAGGCACACGTCTTTTTTCTACTGAAGTTTAAGTTGGCTTTTTGGTTCCTTGAAACCAGGAGAGTGCGGACCAGAATGATCAAAGTTACGGAACTGGCACAAAACCAAGTTTGTGGGATATTTTTACAGAAAGTCAAGGTCAGAAATGACCTCCTATGGCTGTGAAGAAGCTGCCACTTCATGATCCTTCCCTGGACAGAGTGCTGACGAGTAAGACATGCGGACTGAGCAAACTTCAGTCAGAGGGAAAAGAGACACAGAGGGGAGGCCTTGCAGGCATGCTGCGCGGGGCACGAGCTGGATCCAGACACCAGTCCTGCAACTACTAACCGAAAGGCTGGCAGTTTGGACCCACTCAGAGGCTTCTCGGAAGAAAGGCTTGTGATCTGCTTCCAAACGGTGCCAGCCTTGCAAACCCTGTGGGGCAGTTCTACACTGCACACGTGGCGTCGCCATGAGTCAGAATCAATCAGCAGTGCCGGAGGGCGGGGCAATGGTGACACTGAGCCACGTGTGAGCTGCAGCACAGTGACCAAGGGGCTCCTACCTGGGGTCGGCCACCCTGAGCTGACCCTGGGACAGACGTGGTCGTCAGAAGGCTTGCGTCAGGGCAGAGCACACTGCACACTCCCGGACAGAGCCTTGGCAATGGCAGCCATGTTCAATGAGCTGGTTTGAAATGCATCTTCACCATGAATCACCACCACCACACTCCAAGGTATCTCTACAGACGAGGAAACTGAGGCACACAAGAGCTTAAGGAACTGCTCCAAGGTCATGCAGCTAGTAAAGGTGGCAGGATTCAAACCCAGGAAGCAGGACCTCAGAGCCATGCCCATGATCACAATTCCCCACGGTGTCCCCAGATGAGGTGAGACTGCTCAGCAGGGGAGGGTCTCCTAGGCGTGGGAAGGTCAGCCCTGGGGGCTAAAATGCACAGAATGCCCAACCATCACCCAGCACTAGCAATCTCCACCTAGAACCTTCCAGAAGCAATCTGCCCAAGCTTGTGATTTAGAGACGAAAGGGATTTCCCTTATCAGTAATGAAGCAGTCAACTTAAGACAGGCACACTCAGTACCTTGGGATCGCTAGTACAAGAGCAACATCTCAGTCCAGTCGTGTCAATACAAACAAACTGCAAACAGAGAGCAGGGGTCCAGATTAAGTCTTATAAAAACAGATAAATAAAGAGATGTCCCTACGCGTCTAACAGCAGATATGTAGACAACCAGAACCCAAACACCCACAATACAAATTTTATAAGCACCAGAACTGTACACATCACACACACTGAATCAGCTTTTAAAATCAATTGTCACTAATTTGCTTGTGACATGATCGAACCAGCGCACAAGTCCTCCCGAGACCTAAGATTCTGCAACCGGCCTGGGCTGCGACTTTATGCTCCTCTGTGCAGAAGGCCCCTGGGCTCCCGTCACCAGTGTGAACCTGTTTCCTGCACACTCACAGGCCAGCTCACCAACACAAAGAACCTTCACGTCTCTCACATGTGCTTTCAAAACCCACCTCTTCCTAGTCCCCTCTCCTGCAGCTCAGGCTAGTTACCACTAGATAAATATCCTTGCTCCCATCCCCTTTGCAGGTCAAGAAAACTACCGCTCCAACCAGAAAGGAGGTTTCGTACAAGCCAGGGTACATGTCCACTGTAAGGAACCAGGATTCCAACCCTAAGATGCAAGAACCCCTTCGGAGAATCTGGCAGTGTGAACCACAGAGAGCTCTGGGGCGTTGATTCTGGTCTTTTTGTTGTACTTTTTGAAGTTTCTCTGGTTAACAGAAGGAGCTCTGGTAGCATAGTGCCTAAGGCATTTGACTGCTAACCAGAAGGCTGGCAGTTCAAACCTACCAGCCACTCCTCGGAAGGAAGGTTGGGCAATCTGCTTCTGTAGAGATACTGCTTCGGAAACCCAAGAAGGGGTCGCTATGAGTCAGGTCTGACTTGACGGCAGTGAGTTTGTTTTTTTGGTTTTTGTCTAGTTAGCAGATGTTACTTTTGAAATGAAGGGGAAAAAATAAAGCAAATGTCACTTTGGGGGGTACATCTTGAGTAAGAAGAATGAGAAGTTTGTTAGTGACAACCTGGAACATGGAGAGGAAAGTGTCTTTTGATGTGGATTTAGACAAAATAAAGAAGCAGGGCCGTCCCCTCCAAAGCCTTGACAAGTCCCACAGCATCTTCAGATTATAGCAGCTTTTCTTCAGAGACACAGAATCCTCATTTAGGTAAAGGTTTCATTCAACACGGCAGCCACTCTGGGAGCCAGTCTGGCAGTTTCTTACAAAGCTAACCGCAAGCTTATTGCAAGCTCCAGCGGTTCTACTCCTAGCACTCCACCCCAAGGTACCTACCCACAAGAGCTGAAAACACATTTCCATACAAAATCCTGTGTGAGTGTTGGTGACCACTTTATTCACAATTGCCAAAATTTGGACGCCATCAAGCTGTGCTTCACAGTTAAACGGGTGGATAAACCAACTGTGGTCACCCATGCAATGAGTCTTACTCAGTGAGAAAAAGAAATGGCAGGGGGGACCCTGAAACGCACACTGCCAAGTGAGAGAGGCTAGTCTGGAATGGCCATATGCTTCCAACGACAGCGGAAACAGCAAAACAGCCGAGACGACGTAGGGACACGGCTGCCGGTCCACAGTGCTGCTCAGCGCGTTTCACAAGAGACAGGAGGTGCTGACAGGCTCCGTGGCCCCGGCAGACGGACGGCCACGCTGAGCGCGGGCCATCCCTCCGACGGGTTACTACACACCGGCAAAGAGAACCCAAGTCCTGACACACGCTACAACACACGTGAACCACACATGGTGGGAAACAGGTCAGACATAAAAGGACACATACTGTACGAGCCCACTTAGAGGATGCATCCAGACCCGGCTAGCGCATGGAGACCAAAGTTTCCTGGTGGTCACGTGGGCGGGAGAGTGGGGGTGTCACTGCTGGGGGCAGGGCACTGAGTCTCTTCAAAGGGTGATGGGAGGAAAGGGATGGGGGTGTCACTGTGGGGGGGGCAGTGAGTGTCTGGGAAGGGTGAGGTGTGGGAGGGAGAAGGGGGGTGTCACTGCCTAGGGGGGCCCTGAATCTCTGAGGGGTGATGGGGGAGGGGCTGGGGTGTCACTGCCTTGGGGGGGCACTGAGTCTCTGTGAAGGGTGATGGAAAATTCTGGAAACAGTGGTGATGGGTGTACATGGGTGTACAACCTGAGAAGCATAATTCCTGTCACTGAACTGCGTGTGAGAAATGTTACAGCGCCAAATGCTTTGTTAGGTATTTCCGTACTCCCCCTGACCCCACTGCCACTGAGTGGATTGGCAGTAGAGCGCTTAACCGCCACGCCATCAGGACTCTTTTTGTACCACAAAAATGAAACGTGGGGAGAAATGAATAGGTGGGGGGCATTTGACAGGCAGTGAAATTATTCTACATGACACTATAATGTTGGACACAACACTGCACGTTTGTCAAAAGTCACAGACCTGTAGGAGACAAAGAGTGAGCCCTGAGATCAACTGAGGGCTTTAGTTACAAACACTGATTAACACAGGCTGAGTGACTGCCCAGAACACACAACAGGAATGTGCGATGCAACAGGGGCACAAGGGAGCTCTGCAAACCCAGAACCGTCCTGAAAAATGGACGTTCAAAAAACACAGAACGTGCTAATATGTTTTGTTATGTGCTGTCGAGTTGCGAGCCCTCCTTGAGTTTCCGAGGCAGTATCACTGCAGAAGTAGACTGCCCCATCTTCCTTCTAAGGAGTGGCTGGTGAGTTTGAACCACCAAACTGCTCACTTCTGGTTAGCAGTTAAGTGCCTTAGGCACTATGCTACCAGAGCTCCTCATGCTAATATACATACTGCTAACAAAACAGCTGCCACATCTCGAGACTCAAGATGGGAGACGTTCTAGAACGCCACCATGCACCACCCTGCATGGATGACCCAAGAGCCACAGAAACGCACTTCTCACTGCACAGACAGGTAAGGCAGCCGCACTGGGCGGGTGCTCACTGTACCCAAATTCTCTTAATGACATACACTGGCATTTCCAAGGATAAGGAGTGGACCACTGAAGAAGTACCCTTTCAGCTGCCTTATCACATTGAAAAACACAGTCAAGCTGGCTAATGGTTTTCCATCAACGCTCCTAATCAGGTTTGGCAACAAACCTCCTCCTATCAGTTCTGCCCTAAATACAGCAGCTGGGCTGCCATGGGATGGGCAGGGTGGATTGAAATACCTGTGATTTTGGAGAGGTCGCACTGAGATCTGCAGGGACAGAAGGCAGGTGGGCAGTAAAGCCAACCTGGGTCTTAGCTCGCGGAGGCCCCTCCTCTCTCCCCTCTCCTAGTCCCGGAGCTGGGCCACCAAAGCTGGCCCCACCACGGGGGAGCGACAGAAGCCTCTCCAGTGTGCCTGTTTCTATCTCCTACGCCAACTGGGGCCATCCATCTACCCCTCTCCTGTGCCCTCACCTCACAGCGTCCCATGGAGGCAAGAACTGACCAGAGCAGGGAGGTTTAAAAAAAACCTCGAAGTTGGCATTCAAACCCATCCAGCAGCTACACAGATGCGGAGGGGCAATCTGCTTCTATGAAGGTTACAAGCTAGAAAAGCCTATGTGGCAGTTCTCCTGTCACGTGGGTGGTGCCAGGAGTCAGAATTGATTCGGTGGCATCTGACTCGGTGGCACTGCAATAGTTTGTGTCCCTCCAAAGGTGCAGAGTACAGGAACACATATACCCGGTATCTGTGGTTTATAATTTCATGGGGTTGGGGGGGCATTAGGAAAAAAAGGTCTCAAAAGGCTCCAGGGCGTAGGGGTGAGGTGGGAATGTAATAATGGAAAAAAGGTCATATCCCTTCCTACACTCTGGGGTGTGTGTGTGTGTGTGTGTGTGTGTGTGTACACAGTGACCATGTATGGCCTGTGATTTTTCAGCCAGGTTTCAAATACACATTAGGAACTGGACATTAGCTGGTAGCAGCAGCTATGTGTTTTAAAGGTTCCTGGTAACACAATCCTGGTGGGTTACACCCAACAGGGACACAAGTCTGCTAGGAGGGACTCCTCTATGCCACATGGGGTCCAGAGTAGAAACACCTTCTACCTGCCCAAAGATTACCAAATTAAAGGTTGGCTGTTAAAAACCACCCGACAGGACTGCAGAAGAAAAGCCTGGTGAACTGCTTCTGTAATGATTCCCAAGAAAAGCCTACGGAGCAGCTGGACGGGCCCACTTCGAGTCACCCTGGGTCACCATCGACTCGTCTCAACAGGTTGGGATTTATAAACTTTTACTCCTGACTTACCAAAGAGTAGTGATTTTGAGACGACAAGTCATACAATTATTTCCAAGGTCACAACCATAACTTTGTGCAAAAAGAAACAGAGTATAAGTATCAGTATGCACCCCGTATAGTAAGGCAAAATATCATTTGGTGACACTTTTGTTCCAGTTACATGGGATATCTGTGTGCTGCACAGAGGCACAATCTCTATTTCCTCTTGTCAAGAAAGCTCTTTTCACTTTCCTTTCAAAAGGACAATCTGTGACAGGTGGCATTTAACTCTGCCTCATGGTCATAATTAAATTATACACTTACAGCTGCTATCACCGCACTGTCCGGAGAGAACACACATTAGAGTCTGCTCAGCTTGGCCAAGAAACACTTTCTGAGCCAGGCAAGGTTTCTTACTCACCTCAGGTTGTAGGGTGGAGTGAACCCATCCTCTGTCCTGTTTCCCCTCACAGTTGTTATGAGTCAATTGACTTGAGGGCAGTGAGTTTGGTTTTTTGGTTAGTCTACTCAAACCCTGTCTGTCTCTTCCACCCATGTCTCTGTACTAATAGCCAATGCCCACACTCAAAGTTCCCATAAGAGGGAAACCAGGTCACAGTTACAGAATGTAATATGTTGTTGTTGTTGTTATGTGCCCTTGAATAGGACCCAACTCATAGTGACCCCTCCTTGGGTTTCCGAGCTCTGGTAGCATAGTGCCTAAGGCACTTGACTGCTAACCAGAAGCCTGGAGGTTCAAACCCACAAGCCACTCGGAGGAAGGAAGATGGGGCAATCGACTTCCGCAGTGATACTGCCTCAGAAACGACTCGATGGCACATAAGAACAACAACATCACTACGGAAGTAGATTGCCCAACCTTCCTTCCGGGGAGTAGCTGGTGGCTGTGAACCGCCAGCCTTCTGGTTAGCAGTCAAGTGTCTTAGGCACTATGCTACCAGAATGTAATATAAGCAGCTTAAAAATACTGGCTCTTGCCTCACCTCCCCAAATGCTACCTTTCGGTGGTCCCGAGTTTTGAGAAACTTGGGCTATCACAGTTTTATTCCTAACCATTTCTTAGGGACACTGTGGGGAGACTTAAATGGTTTTAAGGTTCCTGAAGAAGGTTTTAAAGTCCCTGAGCGGTCCAGCTGATCTGCTCTCTGCTAACCTAAAGGCTGGTGTTTGAACCACCGAGTGGTAATAAGGGAAAAAGGCCTGGCCATCTTCCATAAAGATTACAGACAGGAAAACCCTATGAAGCCATTTCTTTCTGTAACGTATGGGGTCACCACAAGCAGGAAGAAATCGGGAGCCAACTGGTAGTAACAGTGCAGGAGAGAGCTCACCAGGAGGGAACACCTGGGGGCAAGCTGGTTACACTCTCAGGATCCACACTCCCCCCACAAACCAAGGCAGGGCCTCTAGGGGCCCTGAAATCAACAGTTCATCCACATCCCGGGAGATGGCTAGGTTCTGGGGCAAACTCATGCCCCTTCATTTAATAGCACCGGTGGTGCAGCAGCAGCTCTGGGGGCGCAGTGGGTAAAGCATCCGGCTGCCAACCTGAAGGTCAGAGGTTCAAACCCACCAACTGCTCCGATGAGGCAATGTACTTTTGCAGAAACGTACAGCCTTGGAAACCCTGTGGAAGTCACTATGGGTTGGAACCTAACGGAGGGTAGTGGGTTTGTTTTTGGTTTGGTGGTTAGGAGCTCGGCTGCTAACGGAAGGCTCTGTGGCTCGAACCCGCCCAACTCTCCGAGGATGCCCTGTCCTATAGGGTCGCTACTTGTCCAATCGACTTAACGGCAGTGGGTCTGGTTGTTTTAGACTCCTGGTGAATGCGGATTGGGCCACAACGGAACTGATCAAAGAACTCGGAGGAAAAGCCAAGTCGCTCCAGAAGCCCTTGGGAGAGGCTTCTCCCGGAGCCGGGGTGGCCGAGACGGAGCCCCACTCACGCCGGGGCCGCGGGGCGGAGTAAGTGCCTCACTCCTCCCCGGGCTTTGAGTCCCAGTCCCCGCCGAGGTCCCAGCCCCAATTCCCCCCCGGGGCCCGGGCGGCGGCCGAAGCCCCACTCCTCTCCGCCCCCCGGGTGAATTCACAGCGGGCGCTGCCCGTTCCTAACGCACCGCCAGGGGTCCGACCACCGAGCGTCCGCGGGCAGCCCCGGCGGGACCCACCAGGCGAGACCCCTGCTCGCCCTGCCCTACCTAGCAGGCCGGATCGCCGGAGACCCGGACGGGCGATAGGGCCGCGAGGCCCGAGCGAGCTCCCTCAGGCCCAGCGTCGGCGGCGGGGTCGAGCGGGGTCACCCCGGGCCCCTCCCCGCCGCCAGCCCCTGGGGCCTACCTTCCAGGTGCCCAGCCCTATGATGGGCATCTTGGCGCCAGTGTTGAGCACGAGGAGACTAGCCATGGCGACAGCCCTGCGAACAGTTCCACCCAAGACCATGTTACGGTGGCGGCGCGCACGCCTTTAAATACCCCCTACGACCAGCGAGGCGGACGCCTGCAGTTGGCGCGCTCCCGAGCGAACGCGGCTTCGGATTGGCCAGTCCGCGCCGAGGCTGCTGCCGCCTCAACTTTCCCCTCTGTTCCGCGAGGACTCATCTCCCGCTTGGTCCTAGCGGAGCCGTATTCCTTCCGCAGTTCCCCGCCCCTCAGTGCGGGCTTAGCGCCCACTGCTCACCGGTACCCCTAGCGGCTCCGGAGGCCTTGGCCGCTGTTCTGGCGGGGAAAAGCGAATGTCTAGAAATAGTAGTCACAAGCATTCCATAAATAAACAGCATGTGAAGGAGTTAGGGCTGCACTCTTTTTGAAATACATACGTATATATAAATACACATGGTCGTTGTTGTTATGTGCCGTCCAGTCGGACCCTACTCATAACAACCCCTCCTTGGGTTTCCGAGGCAGTATCACTGCGGAAGTAGATTGCCCCATCTTCCTTCCAAGGAGTGGCTGGTGGGTTTGAACCGCCAGCCTTCTGGTTAGCAGTCAAGTGCCTTAGGCACTATGCTACCAGAGCTCCTATAAATACACATTAACAAAACCAAACTCAGCAAAATAAAAAGAAAGGGGACCAGGTTTGCTGATCTGATAGAGCCTGGGGGAACCCCTGAGACTATGGTCTCTAGCTGCCCTTCAAATCTGGAATTTAACCCACACCTCTGGCTTCCAGCCAAACAAAAGAGAGGCATATGAGTTGAACACTCCTTGGAGAGAACAATCATGGGAGAAAGAAGGGCTGTGTATGCACAGGGAGACAGCTCAGGGGGCAGGAGCCTTAAGATGGACACAGGGAAGAGGTAAGTATCGGGAGGAAGTGGGAGGGAAGCTGTTACACTGGGGTAAATCGTAGTCAATGTCATGAGACGTGTGTGAACTGCTGTATGGAAAGTGAATTTGCTCTGTAAACTTTCACCCAAATCACAATAAAAAAACAAACAAAAAACCCACCGCCATCAAGTCGATTCAGACACATAGAGATCCCACGGGGTTTCCAAGCTGTAAATCTTTATGGAAGTAGATTGCCGGGTTTCCTTCCACCAAGTAGCTGGTGGGTTTGAACATCTGACCTTCTGGTTAGCAAATCCGGTATATATATTTTTTGTTGTTATCATTGGGAATGTACCCAGCAGAACAGGCACCAACAATTCCTACATGTACAATTCAGTGACATTGACTACATTCTTCAAGTTGAGTTGCAGCCTTTTTAAGGTCCCAGAACAATACGTTTGTCTCCTGCCCAAATTCTCGGAGGTTTCACAAATGCCCTGTTCCTAATTTGTAGGAATCACACTGATGGCAAGTGTTGGTAGGTTAGTTAGTGAGTTTTGGTCTTAGACAAATGTTCTGTCAGTCAAACGCCTTGCACTCTTTTTGAACACCTTCACCACTGGTGTAACTAACGTGTAGCCTCCCAGAGCGAACTTCACACTCCACCCATCCTAGGGAACCAGCGCTGCCTGCCCACCTGGGCATCACTCAGTGATCCTTCCTAGGAAAGGGAGCATCTCTTGAGCTTAAGCAGTCCTGGAGGGCTTGATCCAGAACATTTGCCTTTAGGAAGTACGGTTGAGTCCTTGCTCCACCAAATGGGCAAGTTCCAGGAAGGTGCCGGATGTTAGTCATTGCAGAGTCGAGTCCAACCCAGGACCACCACCATGTGTGCAGAGTAGAACCGCTTCACAGCGTTTTCAAGACTGTCACCTTTAGGAAGGTGACTGCCAGGCCTTTCTGCCTAGGTACCTCTGAGTGGGTTTGAACCACCAGCCTTCCACCTGGGAGTCAAGCCACCTAACCATTTATGCCACCCAGGTAATGCAAAAACCTCTAGAAGAACAAGAGTAGGGCATAGAGAATTAAAAAGTAAACCGACAGAAGAGTTCACGTTAACATTGTCATTTCCGGTATGTCAGATTGATGCTGCAGTTGTTGCTTGCTGGTATCAAGTCAGCTCTGACCCAAAGCAACTTTATGTATAACAATGAAAAAAGGCCGGTCCGGCACCATTTTAAACCAAAAAACCCCACTGCCATCGAGTGGCTCCAGATTCACAGTGCCCCTAGAGGACAGAGTAGAACTGCCCCTAGCGTTTCCTGTAATGTTTACAGAAGCAGACTGCCTCATCTTTTCCCCTGTGGAGCTCAAAGGGCCAACATTTCTGGCTAGTGCATAACCACTGTACTACCAGGGCTTCTAATAAAAACCAGAGTCACTGCCATCGAGTCAATTTACGGAAGTAGATTGCCTGGAGCGGCTGGTGGGTTTGAACCACCAACCTTCTAGTTAGCAGTGGCACTACGCCACCAGAGCTCCTAGGGCTCCTAGTTAACAGGTAGAAAAACACCACGTGGTTTCCCCAAGGCAGAACAAGGGAAGTCCCTGGAAGAGCCTGCAGGAGAATCTTTGGGATCTTTCCCACACCCTGTTCATGATGGCCCACCCTGGCCCGCACAGCCCTTTCTGCCCCATCACCCTCCAGTCTTTCCCCTAATTATGCAAGATGGGGACTCCTGCCATGACTCAGGGACTCGACCTACTGCAACTCCAATTCAGTGATTTTCCATTCAGTGACTTCTTTAAAAAGTGCCCATCCCTGGGAAAAATTTCTACAGAGCCGGCTAGCCCAAATATTTTTCCACTTGGTTTCTATAGAAACTGCCAGTGGGGAAATGGGAACGCTCTTTGTCCCCAAATCATCGAATTTGAATTTGAGCCTTAAGATGGGTGCTTGGTTTGTGGCAAAAAAAAATAGTAGACAGCCCACCAGTTTTCACCCACTGATCCCTTCTCACATGGAGGTGGCTCTGTTATCCACCTCCAGGGTCTACTTTCAGAGGGCTATTGTCTTAGTCTCCCAGTGCTGCTGTAACAGGAATTTCACAAGTGTGTGGCTTTAACAAACAAACTTATGTTGCCCCAGGAGAGAAGTCGGAAACCAAGGTACCAGCTTTAGGGGAGGCTCTCTGTCCACTTGGGGGGAGGGTCCTTGTCTCTTTTCAGCTTCTGTCCTTGGGTCCTTGATGACTGTCATGTAGTGTGGCATCTGTCTTCCCCATCTCCGCTTGGTTCTCTATGCCTAATCTGTTTTTTTTTTTTTTATCTTTAAAGTGATTGACTTAAACCATACCTTGCGCTGATATGGGCTCTTAACAAGGAAACCCGTTCCCAAATGGGATTACAACCACAGATCCAGGAGTTAGGATTTACACCAAGTATATTGGGAGGACACAATTCCTAGCAGCTAGTCTCCTATGAAAATGATGCAGGCGGGGTGACACAGAGAGGTTATCTGTTAGGGACATTAACCGGATATCACACGCTTCTGTAGTTTCTTTAGGAGCTCTGGTGGTTTCTTTAATAACAGTGTAGAGGTGTAAGAGCATTCCACCGAGGTTATGCACATGTGAGAAACGAGACCTGTGGGAATTCTACAGCAACAATAACACTAGAGCTGGGACACAATGGTGGCATAGACCACTAACTGATCCTGCTGCCACCGTCACCTTTGTGAATACCACTGTGCGTGCATCAAGCTCGTGCTAGGAAAACCTTCAATGGACTCCTTCCGAGAAATATTCCAGTAAGAACAATAAGGATCTTAACTTACTCAGAACTGGTAATCCCATTAAGAGCAAAGAAACACGCCTTCTGCCCGCGCGCGCACACTACAAGGCTGGGACTAGAGTGAGAAAAGAGGTGCCTGGGGCGCAATACTTCTTGTCTGAATATGGGTACCTCCTTAAATTTTATACCCTAGGGATGTCATTTGCTTCACCCTAATCCCGGTTCTCTGTATGAAAAACACGTAAATTTGTATATGCATGAAATAGAGTACATGAGGAGGAGCTTTGGGGGCACAGTGGTTAAAGCACTCAGCTGCTAACCAAAAGTTGGCTATTCAAACCCACCAGCTGCTTCATGGGAGAAAGATGAGGCAGTCAGTCAGCTTCTGTAAAGATTTATAGCTTTGGAAACTCTATGGGGCTACTTGGTCCTATAGGGTCACTATGAGTCAGAGTCAACTCCATGGCAGTTAAGTTTTTCTTCTTTTTTTTTTTTTAAGTATACTAAGGTACAGTAGGAGCTCTGGTAGCATAGTGCCTAAGGCACTTGACTGCTAACCAGAAGGCTGGCGGTTCAAACCTACCAGCCACTCCTCGGAAGGAAGGTTGGGCAATCTACTTCCATAGTGATACCGCCTTGGAAATGCAAGGGGGATCTCTATGAGTCGGGTCCGACTCGACAGCACATAACAACAACAACAAACAAGGTACAGTAGACGCTACACAAAAAGTAAAACAGTAAAAGCCTCAAAATAACAAGAGATGAGGTGTAGCTGTTACAGAGGAAAACCATACGTTGTGTTTTTAGGTGCTTTCGAGTCACTTCTGACTCACAGTGACCTAACATACAATAGAATGAAATGCTGCTCGGTCCTGCACCATCCTCCCAGTTGTTGCTACGTGTGAGCCCACTGTTGCAGCCGCTGTGTCCATCTGTCTCACTGAGGGTCTTCCTCTTTTTCATGACCCTCTAGTTTACCAAGCATGACGTCTTTCTCCAGGGACTGGTCCCTCTGATAACATGTCCACAGCATGTGAGACAGAGCCTTGCCATCCGCACTTCTACGAAGCATTCTGCCTGCACGTCTCCCAAGACAGACTTGTTCATCCTTCTGGCAGTTCACGGGGCATTCAATATTCTTCACCAACACCATAATTCAAAGGTATCAATTCTTTCATCTTCCTTCTTCATTGTCCAGCTTTCGCGAACTTACGAGGCGACTGAAAATACTTGGGTCTGGCACACCTTAGCTCTTAAAGTGACAACTTTTCTTTGTAACATTTTAAAGAGGTCCTTTGCAGCAGATTCGCCCAGTGCAATACATCATTTGATTTCTTGACGGCT